TTTAATTAGGACAAGTGTGAAGCACAAATAACTTTGCACAAGAGTCCTCCTTTTGCACTGGGGGTTATGCAGGAGGAAGAGGCTGTGCCTTTCGCTCTGACCCCTGAAATCTCCACTGCTTGTGAGCCAGCAGCTTTCTGAGCACAGATTCCTTGGTGCTGAATGTTACCAATCCAGTAACATTCTCACAAGGGACAGATTTGGACTTGGCACACAGCAGGCGTATCTTGGATTCCTTCACTGAATGTCAGGGGTGTCTCACCCTCTCCCTTTCTCTCCCAGGGGAACGCGCTGCAGAAGGATTCCTGCCGACTCTGTGTTTGTTTTTTTTCCTTATTCTGTTAGTTCTGGGATAAAAGGGATATGTTTGCTTCTTGCTAGTTAAGGAAAACACTCAGATAACTTTCACAGTGATAACTGCACTGAACACAACCAAAGCTTAAGCCATATATTTTCATTTGGTTTACAAGACTTATTTTTCTTGCTGTCCTCTCCTTATCAGCTTTCACATTTTAGGTACTTTATTTGTAGATATCTGCCTTCCCCCATACTTCAGTAGCTTCAGCCCTCACCAGGCTTCTGCTCTGCTATTTGCCACTTACCCTTATCAGTCATATATTTCACCTGTCTATCATCACACTTCTCTTTCCAGCCATTCACAAAAGCCAACCCCAAGATCACAGCTCCTAAACACATTTATTCTTGCCTTGAAGCTAACCAGAGAGGTTTGTAGCCTTGGCATTTTACCCACAGCAATGTGCTGTGTTAGAATTCCACTTCATCCGCACGGAGTCCCAATGACTTTTCTTGTTACACTTTGGAATGCTAACACTTATATTTGATTTGTGTTTACTTCAGAGAATACTGTTGGAGAGCAGCATTTGCAGTTATTTCATGCTTTTTCTTTCCGGGATGAAGACAAGAAGATGATGGGCAAACATATATTGGTGAGATACTGGATTTGTCACGCCTCGTTGATTAGTTACAGCTCACTGTGTTTTTGAAACTTAATTGGCTCTGTGCAGCCCAGTGGTACAGGACATTTTGGGTCATGTTGCTCGCAGAGTCCAACAAAAAGAAAACGTGTATTTTCTCTTAAAACAAAAACCTCCCATTTCCACACTGGATTCAAGTGCTTTGATGTTAAGATGACAGGTGTCTCATCTGGATTCTATCTCCCCATGCAAGAAGCCCTTAGGCTTCAGATTAGATCAGACAACAATACAGTTAGAAATACAGAAGGATATAAACTATGCCATTGCTGACTACAGCTTTTCCATTGTAAGCTTAGGAGCCCTTTTCGGTCATTATTTCCCCCACTCTTTACAAAGTCAATTGAATCCATGTGACACTCCTTCTCCATTTGCTGCTGTGTCATGCCAGCCATCATTTGTTCTGTGGCACAGAGCACATCAGTGCAGTGAAGCACTGTAGCAGCAGGGCGAGGTGCTCCTGGTGCTTTGCAGTCTCAGCGCCATGGAGTCCTGTGGCTGCTCAAGAAGGCCTTCATCCTTAGCAACCTGAAGGCTGCTTCAGCTCCAGACAGCTTCCAGCCATCTCAGTGCTGTCACGATCATGTGAGAGACAGGCCAAAAGTCTGCTACTTTTGTCTACTGCTGAGTCCTGCATTGCTCTGGCACAACAAAAAGTTGCATTAAAAGTCCAAGTCCTTTTGAGTCTGATTTTGCTGACCAGGAGCACAAATGAAGCTCCTTGAGCCTGTTTTGGTTTTTTTGGTGTTTTTTTTTTTGTTTTGTTTTGTTTTGTTTTGTTTTGTTTTTTGCAGAGATTCTTGTTCTTAAGTTCTCACCTTACATCTTCATTCATTATTTCTACTCTATATTGCTGTAAAAAAACCCCTCTGATTATTAAAAAAATCAAAAAAACACACTTGTAATTTTCCATTGCCTTTGCAATTTCAGAGGATCACGTTAGTATTTTTGTTGGAACAGCTACTTAATGCTGTTTCTGCTCTGCATATCAATGAGATAACAGCAAAATAACACAGCACCTTGAGTGGGAGGAGGGCTGAGCACTGCCATCACTGCAGCTCTTGCTAAGCGTTGGGAGTGCAGTGTGCTGTAGCAGTTAGAGAAACCATTTTGCTCATTTCAGCCGTCTGCATTTTCATTAAGTCGGTGTGGTTATTCCTTCCCCACGGGGCTGTAAAACTGTAAATAGCAAAAGGAATGAGAACAGGCAGTCAGTCAAATGACAGAATATTAAAAAGGTCATAAGTAGTACACAAGGCCAAAATAATTGAATGGATGTATTAGAATTCTCTAATGGAGCGAATTATTAGAGAATGGAATTCTCTAATAATATCAATATGAAAAAATGGCACAGAACCTTTAATTCAAGTATTGTTGAGTTTGGAAATTAGTTTAAAATACAGTTTTTTTCCAGCACTCTAAATTATTTTCCTGATATAAGCTAAATTCTGCCAGCAGGATCATCCTTTCACTGGGGGGCTTAATGGCGTTCTGTTCTGTGACAGTGAAGCAGAGTTAGCAAGAGCCTCAGCTGCTCTCCTGGCCCCTCCATACCCAGAAACACACTTTCCTTTAAAGGCTAACATGCAGGCTCTGAGAAAGCTGGCAAGTAACCTGCATCACTCACAAGCATGAAGGTCTGCTCAGGGCAAATCTCCCCATTGGTACAGAATTGATGCACACTGGTCATGGCACAACCCCAGGGAAAAAGAGGTAGAGGGAGAAGATCAGTGGTGGGAGATGGATGCCTTGTAAGCCCTTCGCCCTGGCACAGGCAGCCCAAGCTGCTGAGTCACTGGTTATTGCAAATGAGGGGCAGAGCATTTTCCGTTCCCAAGCACAGAATGGGCTGCCTTATAGACAAACTTGATGATTTCTGCTATTACCCTCCTGAAAAAGAAGCCAGGTCTTCGAAGATTTCAGCATCTGTGCTACTGCCATAGCTGTAAGTATTGTCACACCTAGCAGATTTTCATTTAAAATGATAGATAAGCTTTTAGGGCTTCTGTCAGGATATCATAAGGGAGAAACCCGCGTTGCTACTGGAGACCAAAGTGAGGAGCAGAATCAGGCTTTCTGAAGTACTGACTGACAGCATGCTGCAAACACAGTCCTAAGCCATGAGAATTGACATAACCTGAAAATCACCTTTTTAAATAGGCAAAGTGTATTTCCCTGGGGAAAACAAGTGCTGTGTAGCTTTCACACTCAGCTGGTTCTCAAGGTGCAGGAAATTGCAGCTCCTGCTCCCCCCAAAGCCGCCGGTCTTGCTTGTTCCTACTGGCGTGCTCTTGGCCAGCCACATAAATTGGTTCACAACATCCAGTGCCATTTAGTTTCAGTCTGAGCTGCCAGGAGCAATAATTTCCCAAGGACACAAGGCAAAGCCTGGCATCTTGCTGATTCTGTGATTCTGTGATTCTGTGAATGGTGGAAACCAGTGCAGGAAGCAGTGGTGGGGTTCAGCAAGGAAGTCTGGTTTTCCTTTGGCCTTCCTTTGGCACAGAAATTGTAAAATCCTCCTGTAGGAGGCATTGCATCCTGATGTGTACAGCAAGCAGAACAGCTAACACTTCTGCTGCTCCTTTATAAGTGATCTGCTTCATTTTCAAAATAGTGATATTTAATATTATCTTTATTTTTAACATGCTTCTGTAAACAAGGGCATAATGCAAAAAAACCAACGTCCAAATTATAAGCTGGAAAAGTAATTAAAGCATGGGGCTTTCAGGTCACACATCAGCAGATCAGAGGGGCGCAGTAATTAATTTTTGGCAGCCTTTGACAACGGGGCACGAAACATTCTTTAGTTCACTTCGGGTTTGAATGAACTTGAAAAATAGAATACTTTGTACAGAATTTCCACTGAACTGTTATAGACGAATTCAACTTACTTTTTTTGTTAAATAATGTAGGTGTTTGCTAAAAAAATAAATAAAACCAATTATAAAAATATATATTTTTTAATTTTTAAAACAAAATCCTCAGTCTTCCTTTTTGTGCACTCCCCAGCTACAGCTGAACCTTTGCAATTTCATTTGTGAGGCAGATTTCTCTGTATAAGGCAGTAAAACAATACCTCAGTGGGGAATTCTTCAAGATCTTTCACTTGAGCATTTTTATTCTCTAAAATGTTATTCCAGTGCTAGCAATACAGTCCAACTTCAATAAGTAATTGAAACAGTATCTGTACTCAGTAGATGGACATCCCTGATCTGCACCGCAGGGAAAGAAAAATATGCCTCTGTTCTCTGCACTGAAACCTGCCCATGGAAGCTGGCCCTTCTTGCTGAGCTCTCAGTATTTGCATCAGGATTAACTGTTCTGTGCCAAACCCTGCTATGGGGCACAGATCCCTTTGGATTAATTACTAAATAATAGGACTGTTGGAAAAATAAAAGATTCCAGTGTTATCTATTGAAAGATACCTGCTTGTCCTGAAGATTATTTGCACCAAAAGAGTTCATGAAGTAGATGCAGGGGACTCTCACTGCAAGATCACCTCTGCTTGGACATGCATTTTCCCAGTGTGACAAGTACTTGTTTTTTCTTGGTTTTTTTTTTTTTTTTTTTTTTTTTTTTTTTTTTTTTTTTTTGCTAAATCATAACATCATAGAATCATTAAGGTTGGAAAAGACCTCTAGGATCATCTAGTCCAACTGTCCAGCTACCACCAAAATATTGCCCTCTAACCATGGCCCTCAGTGACGCATCTCCACATTCCTTGAACAGCTCCTGGGACGGTGACTCCAGCACCTCCTTGGCAGCTCGTGCCAACACTCAACCACTCTTGCAGAGAAGTTTTCCCTGATACTCAACCTGAACCTCCCCTGGTGCAACTTGAGGCCATTTCCTCTCATCATATCAAATAACAGCGAGAAGGAGTGAGCCCCCTTCCTCCCTGCCCTGGGCTCCCTCTCCCACCCCTCAGCAGCCCAAGACAAGCAGGCAGAGCTGGCAGAGCTGTGTGTTGCTCAGCCCCCAGCCATGTGCCATGCACCACGGTGCAGCACGGTGCCCTAACAGGGGAGCAGGCAGGAGCTTGTCAAAGGAACGTCACGAACAAATAAGTGATGCTTTGCAGGTCCTGGCCTGCTCAGAGGGATGTGGGCAGTTAAACACAAACAACTCAGCACTCGTATGAGGGGACAGCTGGAGCTGGAGCAGCAATGAAAGAATACAAGGAGGTGGGGATGCCATGTGGGGTGCATACAGCAAGGCAGTTCGGTCCTGCTTGGGGAGGGAGGAGATTGCTGGGAAAGCAATATTCTGGCACAACGCGGATGCCCCAAAAGAACTCTCTGCTTTAATCAATGTACCCCAAAACATCTTAGCTGCACTTGTGTGGGTAGTTGCATGATATCAGGCTTTGCTTTATCAGAGCAATACAACACAGGCTTTGCAGAGCCGCCTGTTCAAGGAGATGCTAGATAACAGGCATTGCTCATGCAGTATGGGGAGCAAGGCAACAGTAAAGGCAGAACCTTTTGCAAGTACATAGCTGGATTCAGTGCCTCTTCAGACACTTAAAATAGCTCAATTTGCTTTGCTTTTCTTACAACAGTGCCTTCACTCCCATGCTGGAGCGGAAGAGTATTTTCTCACTTGAATAATGCCCCTCTAGCAAAATGAATTATAAATAGATAGAGAGCAAGTGTTGCTGAAGTGTAGAGGGCTTAAGTCTGTCTGCCACTTCTGGTTTCATAACCACGAACACCCTGCTTTCCAAGATTTAGCCCTCCTCATTTCCATTCTTCTGACTCAGAACTGGGCCTGTGTTAGATCCTTTCATAACCACCATATGGTGCCTAGAAAGTCTTTCAGATATTTACAGTTCCCCAGGGCCTGCTCTAGATTCAAGACATGAATTTGAGGATGACAATCATTCACGCCAGGGCAAGCAATTTTTAGAGGGCTTTTTCCCACTTCTCCAGTGCTCAGTGCATTTATCCAGAAAATGGGCAGCATCTCAAGACAAGCAGATCCTCAGTGAAACACTTCCCAACAGATCAGATGTTATGTCTTCTGATTTAAGATGTTTGCTCTTGCAATAGAAGTATATGGAAGTACAAGGTTTCTCATTATTTCTCTAAACATCTTTATACATTCCCTTCTATTCATATTTTTCCTACTTACCATTTTTCTGACATTTCTTCACCGCTTTTCTCAGCAAATTATTTCCAAATTCCTTCTGCCAACAGAATCGAATGCTGTCCTTCAGGTGAGGGTGTGTTGCTGATCTCAAATATTACATGGTCACATTTGCAATATTACTTATCTCAGCCATTATCCACGTTTTACCAGTTTATGAGTTGGCCATACCATCACACACTGATCAGCTTCCTTTAATTTCATCCAAACAACGATCTCCTCTCTCTGGTGACCAGTGGCAGAACCCAAAGGAACAGTGTGGATCTGTGACAGGGAGGTCAGGCTGGGTATCAGGAAGAGGCTGCTCAGAGCAATGGCCATGGCACCAAGCTGCCTGATTTCAGGATGTGTCTGGATAACACTCTCAGTCATATGGTCTGATTTTTGGGTGGTGCTATCAGGAGCCAGATGTTAAGATCCTCGTGGGTCCCTTCCAACTTGGGATATTCCACGATTCTATGGCTGTTATGTTTTTAGGTGCTCCGAGTCTCTCTTCATTGTGGTTGGTTTTAATGACCCTTAGTTCTATCAACATCATGCCTAGGTTTCTTAGTCTTATCTGAAATATTTAGGTTTTCCATTTTTCTAAATCTGCAAATAGAAGCCTCCTCTTTTGAATTACATTCTTTTTTCTTGAGCTTTTTAAAATGGGAGACATCCACATTTATTTCCTTGTCCTCTGTGTTTTAATAGCTTCTATAATTTCTTCTATTCCAGACAAGGATAATTAGTAACCAGTCTTGGATTTTATAATTTCATAGTACTATTGTTGCTAAAACGAATGTTCCCATTCTTCTGAAGGCATTTGGAGACAGCTGGAGATGGGCAAATTGATCTGAAGAAATAAACAACTGATGTTTCCTACAAAAAGATCAAAGATATACTTTGAAACTCAAGAAATGAATTTGTTTCTTCATGTTCTTTCTGAAAGTTCCACTTTCTCTCTGGTTTTGGCCTCCAATGGAAGCAGAAATGCTTAACAACAATTGCGTGAGCCAGCTTCCTTAAACCACTTAAATCCAAGGAGATGCTGCAGATGATGCAGGCAGGTGGTTTTGGGGAGATTTGTGCCTGTGTTATTGTCCCAGGAGTTTGAGCAGACTTTCTCCAGGTGTCTAATATGTTGCTGTCATTAGTTACAACATAAATGAGCACAAATGAGATTGTGGTTTTGCTTCAAAAATTGGTTAAGCCAAATACAGCAGCAGAAGTGATCTAACCTCCAAAAGCCAACTGATGGGATGAAAATCAACGGAGTGCTCTAAAGAGCATGGACTTACTGGAAAAAAAATTGGAAGCAGAGATCTTTTGCAACAAACTGGACTCTGGAAGTCATATTACATTTCAGATGCTAGTTCTGGAAGAGGCTTGGCAGCTCTCTAGCTTGGTTGGTTTTGCATAGCCAGGTTTAGATGCAGAGACCAATCAACTCTTGGACAAGGCCACCATCTGGCACACAGGGCTGTGGAAGTGGCTGCTGGTTGCAGAACCTCCTGGGAGCCAGGTCTGCCAGGAGTGCCTCACCAGGACGGCCCCAGTGAGGAAATCTGAAGCAAGAGCCACCTCTCATCTGCCCTTATTAAACGAATGCATAGGAAATGGCCTGTTTAAAGCATGCACCAATCCTAGATCATGAGCTGCTTTGCTGTTCTTCACTACTGTGAAAAATACCATGAACCAATGGCGATGGGAAGATGCAGCAGGGTCTTGCAGCCTCGCTGCCAAGTATTATTTCATAGGGAAATATGGGCAGATTCCAGCTGCTCATTCTGGAGGTGAAGTTAATGAACATAACAGCAGGAAAGAACAGCTTCAGATATGGAAAAAAAAGGAAATGCAGCATGGAAACACACGGGGAGGAATAAAACTTGTTGAAGCACACTGTGGCATTATTTCTGCTGACAAAAAAAGGATGTGCCTTAACAAATAGAGGCAGCAAGTGCCTCAGCAGACCGTTGTTTTCTGCTAGAGCTGGAAAATGATTCATGCTATTCAAAAAACTGCTTTGTGACATCAGTAATAAACAACATAGGGCACTTCCTTCAACGCAGTTCTATTTGTCAGAAGTTCTCTACTTTGTTCTATATTTTTATAGTGGCTTACAATGGTGCACAGCTTTATTCATAACCCATATCAACATTCTTCACACCTTTTTTCTGCAATTCTTCTGTCATTTCACACAATAACCCAATGGTAAGAGTTAACAGACCAGGTTATCAGGGAACCATCTCCAGCATCCATCACAGCCGAGGTGTGAAGTAAGCTTTGTGCGTTAGCTGTGCTTCCTCTACACAGATATTCCTACAGCATTTCCTGAACCCAATGTATAAAATAGCTGAATAACACATGTGCCATGAGGTTGCTGTATCTGTGAAGTGACATCAGTGGTTAGTCTGCTCCATTGCCTTTTCTGGGAGATGCACTACTCATACAGAATCTGAAACAGAAAAACTTTACTCAGAAACATAGGATAAGATTGTGCAAACACAAACATGTATGAAAAAACTTCTGCAGGCACTGATTGCCCAATGCTGTTGTTCTTGGGCTTAAAACTGGAAAATCTCCTTTGTCACATTCATAACCAATTGTATCAGTCCAGGTATCATGCCATTAATCAAATAACTGCTGATAAATTGATTTGTAAGAATGTTCCCTTATTGCTATTATTAAAATAAGACTGTATTAACACATGCAAAATAGCAAAGCTGAGTTGATTAATAATTGTGCAAGGATTTTTTTATTATTTAGATTAGATAGACATTCTAATTTCATGTCATTATTTTATGTTGAACACATTTTTAACAATGATGGGATACCTTACTAAGGATAAGAAGAGCTGCCAGCAGTTTCCATTGAATACTGTGACATTTCCAGAGTACTCCAAATGATTCCAGAAATCAAAGAATGCAATCACTTCTGGGCAAAATCCTTTTTGTACTGTTACTAGCTAACGATGGCTTACAAAAACAAACAAACAAACAACACTTTTTGAGGGTTCAATTGCCTTGAAGGGGAAGAAGAGAGCTGTGTTTTTGCTACATTTTGACCCCAGTCAGCCAAAGCCTGAATCAGGCCAGCTTCCTGATGAGAGCTCATGGGTTTGGGCAGTGTGGCTGGGGATCCTCTCCATCCTAGCTGTGCCTCTCAGGAGAGAGGGTGCTGCAAAGCAAGGGCTACAGACTGCTTATCTGCACTAAAAGATAGAGGAGAAAAGGCCAGGCTTGCTGTCTCCAAGCTCTTACTCCATGGGCCTGGAAATGCCTGATTCTGCTCTAGGTAATCTTTCGTTAGACAGTCGTACTCTGACCAGCAATTCAGCTTTAGAGACTGAGCTCTCCTTTATGCCAGATCTCTGACCCTTGAGAGCCCATGCATAGAGCACACAAGTACAGCCCCATGGCCAAGCATTCCTCCGTATTAGCATCAATTATATCACTTTGCTGCTGGCAGATTCTTGCTCCACAAATAAAAAGAGAAACAAAAATGGAGAGAGTTTTGATAGCTGTGCTTGTTTGGAGGGAGATTAACAGCACAAAAAGGGAAATAGAAAGTTTTTCCATCATAACTCCTGATGTATCAAAGCTTAATCGGGTTCCTTTGAGCTGGACAGAATGTATTTAAACAAGGCACTGCAGTAACATAACAGCACATCAGCCACTTTAGATGCTGTATTTCCCAGGCAAGAAAGGCCCCGTATAACTTCAGCCATTTTAAGAATCTGAAAGACTTGAAATTAAATTAGAACAAATTGCGATGCAAGCTTAAAACAAAGGATTTTCATTTCTGATGCAAACTCAAAGTACCATAAGGGCATGCATCAGTTTGAAGAGTTCTGTGATTCAGGGTTTCCTGGAAGAGATTCAAATGAAATTGAAGTGGATGTCAAAGGACCCACATGGAACCGAGCTAAGCACCTCTGTGTTCATCCATGTCCTCTGCAAGCCAAGGCATCTCTGCTCACCTGTTCAGCCACACCTAAGCTTGGAGATAGGCTCCAGGAGTCTCAAGAGTATGTTTTCATGAGAAAAGCACATGTTCTTTATTTTTAATATCCTTCTAGGAGTTGCACAATCCTCTCTGCTTCTACAGCCTGCCCCTGGGGTCTGTGTCAGCCTCAAGAGCCATAATATCTGAGACAAGAATGGAAACAACAATTTTGGGGGACAAACCTTTAGGTCTACTTGGAGACACGTTGCTTAGCTACGTGGACATTTACATCTGTGTCACTTGTCAAGCAAGACAAAAAGACTGCTATATTGGATCAGTAGGAAAACAAGCACTTGAGGGGAGGTCATCCATCCACACTGGTGCTCTGGGTCAGGCTCGCGGAGGCAGATAATGCTCCTGCCAAGTTCCACAGTGTTCCAGCCTGTTCTTTAAAAACCTCCAGTGGTGGATAATCCACGTCTCACAATGTGGGCCAATGGCCAGAGCCTTAGCAGAGGATGATTCCCTGCGTGAACAATGGTCCCTTCTATTATGTTTTGGCAAATGCAGAAAGGAATTTGCTCTATCTCGTAGATCAGGCTAATTCCCTTGCCTGGCTAGGTTCTGTCAGCTGAGCTTTGAAGATACCCAGTAATTTTAGTCCTAGGAGAGCATTATGAGCCGTTCTCTGATGAACGCATCATCAAGGACAACACTGTAATGGGTTTTTAAATTGTTTCCCTTAGTCATAGGCTTAAAATAAAAATTAAAAAGAGGCGGAAGAAATAGTACAAGCATTAGACAAATGTAACAGGAATGCTTAGGCACTGTGAAAACCAAGGGAGAACATAATTACAGACCATGTTTCACAAAGTGTGAGTCACTGGAGAAGAAAAAAAAAATGCTTTACACTTGTATACGATCAGCTGTTCGGCTGAACAGTCTGGAGCCTTGGGTACCTCTGATCCCTAAGCCCAGGAGCACAACCTTAAGCAGCAATGCTGGGAGTGCTGCTAGAACCACAGAGCATGCAGGTGGAAAACACCTGCAAACTCAGAGCATGGTGAGAGGAGCAGGCCAGACACCATAGCACATCATATTTTTAACTACAGGAACGGCTTTAGCCTGAGATATCATTTAGATATTGTGAAGACTGGGAGAAATACTATTTTTCCAAACATGCAAGAAATAGCACATGCACAGAAGAGCAGCATGGTTCAGATTTTTAACCCAGCTCCTAACAATGGGAAAGAATGAGCAAAGAGTAATATTAAGTGTTGGAAGATGGAAGTCGAGGTCAGAAACTTTGAGGCTAAAGCAAACAGCTGTCTGGAAAAACTGCCCACATCAGCACTCATACTTTTGCACAAGTAGCTCCTACCCTGCTGACTGCAGGGCAAATCCTCAGTGCCATGCTCCTGTCTCATGCCTCCTTACCAACTGCAGAAACATGAGCACATTATATTCAATGCATTACTCCAGTCCTTGTGCTTGGTGTGCTCCACACAGTTCACTAACTCAGCTGCTGCCAGATTGCTTGCTTCTCTGCTGATGGCCTCTGCGGGGGTTACATCAGTGTGTAATGCTGTCTGATGCAATCTGTTGCAGATTTGCATCTTGGCCAGAAAGTTATCCTACAAAACTTGCAATAGGGCTCCATCATGCCAGTGGCTGTGGACAACACTTCTTAGGTATGATGAAGACCACACATGTATACCTGTATGCAAATACACAGACCTGAGCAGCCCCAGCTGCACTGAAGATGCTAAGGCACCACACTGTGTGGGGCACAGCAATCCCTTGTGGGCTGCATTGCCCACCCCTTAGGAGAGCCTGGAGGATGAAGGAAACGATGTGCATGGGAATCAGCTACAGAGCTGTGAAAAGATCCTCCCCACTATTGCAGCCAAAGATACTAATCAAGTCCTCAGCCCCCTCAGGGCAGGCTCACAGAGCAGGAAAATGTAGCAGCAACCCCAACATACCCGACCTCCAGGCCACAACTAGTCACAAGGCATGGGCTCCCTCCTAAGTCCTTGTGCAGAAGTCTCCTGGAGGCACAGTTCTGCACAGCAGCTGAGGTCAGTTTTGAGCTAGCTTTGCACAAAATAAATTGGCAGATGACCACTTCAAGTTTTGTGCTTTTTTTTTTTTTTTAATAAATAAATAAGAAATTATATTAACATTACTTTAATAACTTCATTTAGTTGCACAATAATCTATTCCCTCCCTAGCTGCGTGCCAGAACTGGCTGAGACGTCACAGAGGTAAGTGATATAAATGCTGCAGCCATCTCTATGGAACTGCCTAGAGATATCTGACTCATGCTGTTCCATGCAGTTAATTCTGTCTTCAACCGCTTTTTTCTTTTTTTATTCATGGAAAGAAGCTTATGCATTAATTTCCTAATTAACGCCATTAATATTCTATGTAAATGAAATGCCTTTCTTTCTGTGTATTTACATGATATCTCAGGATGTACTACAGCAAGCAACAGACCAACCACTACCAAGGGTATAGAGCACTGCCTGGTGTGCCTGTAGTACATTCAGCATGTGCCAACACATCATCTACATTTCAGATCTTCCATTAAAAGGAGAAAAACTTGCCACAAAGCATACCAAAGTTCTACCTGCTTCTTGCTGTCTGCTGTACAGCTCAGCCAGGATAGACTCTGAACACACAAAACTCAGTATCTTAAAAAAATATATTCCCACTTACACTTTAAATTGTAGGATTGTTTATGTAGTCAATGCTTCCCCTGGCCTGGAGGCTGAAATTCCTGGTTTGAAATTATAGCTCTAGTAAGGGCAAAAGGTAATGTCAGCTTTGGGATCTTACCATGCCTCTCCCTATCACTGAGAAAAGTGAGGCAAGCAGTGATGACATCCAATCACTTAACAGGGCCATATTCCAGGTGGGTTTACATGGGCACCCACAGCCACACGTATGTTGTCTGTATATGGATGCAGACTGGAGATACACGATCCTTGAGTAACATAACAGCACATGAGCCTGATCCTTCCAACCTTGGCATGCATACAGCATACATATATAAATGTATGCACGGGTTAACTCTCTCAGCTATTAAGACCTTTCAGCTATCAGCAATAACTCAGAAAAGCTGCTCAGATTGCTTAAATTAAGTCACTACCATTTAAGCAGGAGTTACCTTCCAAGATTTTTTATTATTATACATCACTGTAACAGCACTGCAGAAGTCTCATGGCGTTCCTAGAAAGACATCACTGTGATGGTAAAACCTTCAAGATGCAGAAACCTGTAATTCCCTGCATCCCTCAGGTACCATTATTCCATGCGGAGAATGTTTTTATAACGTAATGGTAACTCGGTGGTACTGTTATTGCGTTTTAATAACACATGTTCAACTATGTAAGATGATGGACATACGTGCTGTGAAAAGCCATGGCACTGTAATCGTATTCAAAGCAACTACCCTCACAAAAAAGGAAGAAACTAGAAACCTGATTTTATGTATGTTAATTACAG